GGGGGGGAGGGTTGGGGGTTCTGAGGGGGGCAGGAAGTGGGAGGGGCAGGGGCGGGGCTAGGGCAGGATGGGGGCGGGGCTAGGGCGGGGCTCCTCCCATCCTCTTTTTTGCTTGCTGAAATATGGTAACCCTACAGTTGATTATGTAAGAATAAAAGGAGCTCAGCACGAGTTGCAGATCCTAAATTAGGATTGCGGTAGTGCCAACTAGAAAAAAAAATCAATTTGTAAACAGAGCAAAGAGGATCTGAAATCACTGAGAATAAATAAGAAAATTAACAGGTTCTTTTCTATAGTCAACTGAATAACCCCTTTTCCTTGACTTTATTTTATTAATGCTGCCATAGATCATCTTGTACTTTATTTTAGGTTGTTCTGTAAAATTTGGAAAATGCCTTTATATGACTTTTGTAATATTTATGCAGGTGAAAATTAAGTGGGCCGAGTAACATTTGCATTATATGCATCTGATGCTCAGTCTGTTAGGAAAACTGGCTTTTCTGGTTTTATTAAAAATTTATTGCCAACAGGCTGAACATTTAGAAATGATATTGAAGGGTGCTGGCTCACACTTTAACCAGATTGCTGATGTATCAGTTTTACATTACCAACATTGCACTGGAAAATTGTTGGGGGAGTTCACAGCTTTTTAAAACAATTATAATTTTAGGGTAACATTTTACCAAGAGCTTTGTTTGCTAGAACTTTAATTTTCAGCTTGAGATACTCCAGTGGAATGTTCATACAGTGGAGGATAGGAATGGGTTCTGATGGCTTTGTGTATATTATGTCTCTAGCTTTGCACACCTCTCATGTGTAAAACTGTTAGATAATGTACCAGTATGAAACTTTGATCCTTACCATCTTTGGCAGAGAAGAGAGTTTTGGGAGTGGACCAAAACCACCACTGAGAGCCAGGGATTTCATGGCCAGTAACCCTGAGCATTTGGAGATACTGAAGAAGATGGGAGTCAGTTTGATTCACCTCAAAGATGGAAGAGTACAATTAGTGCAGCATGCAATTCAAGTAAGACCCACATATATTTTGTAGAAATCTTGGCCCATTGAAATCAATAGAAAAATTCCCAATGTCTGCAATAGGAGCAGATTTCATCCCTTGGTTTCATTCTCTACTTCCACAGTTTGGGTTGCTTAGTTTTAAAAAGGGACCTGCTGAAGCTTTCAGCATACCTTTTTACCTTTCCTTTGTTGCTACATGTGATAAATAATATTTTTAAACTGGTTTAAGTTTTTTTGCCTCTTTTTCTTCAACTTTGTCTTGCCATTATCTCTACTTGTTACAACCGGTGCCCCATTTACGTTGCAGCAAAAGACTTGGATTGTGCAACACCTGCAGAAATTAATGTCAATTTTTATTGTATTATTCATTTTCATATTTAGTTCAATCAGTAATCCTTGCATTTGTTTAATTGGGTATTACATGCAGTTTTTTGCTGTCTGTAAACTTAATTTTCAGTGTGCTACAGTTTTGCACTAAACAGCATAATAGAATTTTTTTTTGGAGGGAAAGCTGCAGATTTTGGTAGCTTGGACATTTGTAGGGTGACTAGATGTCCCGATATTTGGGGCTTTTTTTTTTATATGGGCTTCTATTACCCCCGTCCCAATTTTTCACACTTGCTATCTGGTCACCCTAGACATTTGGCACCTGAAGAATGTGGGAGAAGAATATAAGCTTTACTAGCATGATCAGAGGTGCAGTTCTTAAGTGTTATCAGCTGTAGATTCAAAGTTAACCAGCCCTCCAGCAAAGTTAAACTATTGTTTCAGGCTGTCTGCAGATTCAAGCAGACATCACTGCATGAGTTTGCATACAGGTCACATTTGGAAAGTTTTCTTTGCTGCCATTAAGAATAAAAACTTTTTTTAAAATGAATGCATAGATTGTGAGGCATAATTTTGTTAGTTTCCGCAGCAGATTTGGCAGTCTCTGAATTGTAGAAGATATAGTGCCCTAATTAAGAGCTCATTGTAAGGAGAAGCTGGACTGAAAGAGAGAGCACTTGTTCTAACAAATCTAAAAATAGCACAGACAAGGGGGAAAAAATGAGTAGTTTAAAAAAATTACAAATGTGCTTTAGAGTAAAAATTCCCCCTTCAAATAGCAAGATCATAAAATAATTACTAAATCATTTTAAGTGTGTATTTCTAGTGTTTTATTTAGATTGGCATCAAGCTCTAGATAAAGTGTAGTTTTATTTTTCAATTTTTATATAATAGAACAAAAGTATCTTTTTCAAACAGTACAGTCCTGGTACTACATATGTATGTGAATGGATTTTTTTCATTATAGTAAGAGAATGTAATATTTAAGTCTCGCAGCATCCCAGACCTGGATCACTATCTAATATAGTATTGGCACATTTGTATATGTGACGTAAATAAATTGATATTTAAAAGATTAATTTGATGTCTATTTAAGTGTGTCTCTAGAAATTAAGTTGGTGCACCTAATGTATCATAGTAGCCCAAGGATACATTAAGGTGGATGGTTTCAAATACATTTTGGATTTAGAGTTTATAATCTTATACTTGGCTTTGTCAAAATTCACACAAGCCCCTAGTTTGGAGCATAAAAATTATTTTCAGGATTAGAGAAAGAAACCAGAATGCTATCAAAATAATTACCCACTTTTGTAAAGTAAAAAATGTTAAAGGGCACATGAAAGGTGCTGTACAAATACATAAGCATTGTAATTATCAGATGATATTTTTTGGAACTACTTTAGCAGTATGACAAAACCCTAATGTTGGTCTTCAGTGTCATCCAGAAATTTCTAATTGGTGGTGTTTCTAGTATGATTGTTTGACCAACTGTGCAACACAAATAATTTGAACTTATTTTTAGCTTTCACATTTTTCTGTTTATTTGATAAAGCATTAACAGTTTAACTCTCTGCAAACCATATTTTGTTTGAAGACTGCTTTAATAGTATGGATTTACCACAAATTCCAGATCAGCAAAATAACACATTCATGTATTTTACACAGTAGTCAAAAGACACTAGTTATTTATCTTATACAAAAAGGAGTCAGTCAACTTGACCACATATAAGTCTATCTATTACATTAGTATTTTTCTTTAGTTTAAATTTTAAAGAAAACGTGTCAGTTATCTTATTGTAAACATAATTCTGTTACTGATAAAGAAAAATTAGATTTTTTAAAAAGAATTTTTGGTTTTAATAGTCTGTGCTGTTTAACTTTGGCATTTCTCAGACTGGACAATGAGAACTTGTTTAGATTTGGCTTCAGGTTTTCTGCTGCAATACCTGGAAATAGACATAGCAGGGAAAGGTTTATTAGTTTAAAAACAACTATTTCCACTGCAATTTAAAAATAATCAAACTTATATAAACTGGAGATTTGGAAAAAATGAATTTTGTGATAAATTTGATAGATGTTTAAAGTATAATTGTTAACAAAGAATTACAATAAAACAGCTGATGGAAAGGTCATGGGCCTCTGGGAGCTAGACTTTAGAATGTAGTGCTCTCAATTACTTTTTCCTTCTCAGCCTGGTTGATTGGAGGCAATACTGACAGATTCTGGAAGAAGCCAGCTCTTTTTCCAGGAGGTTGGCTTGGAGGGATTCACCAGCGACAGTAAAATTTTGGTTCTGCAAAATATTTAAGAAGCCACTTACCCTAATATCTTTACTCCTTAGGCAGCAAGTTCACTTGATGCTGAAGATGGTTTGCGATTCATGCAGGAAATGATTGAACTGTCCAGTCAGCAACAAAAAGAGCAGCAGCTACCCCCACGTGCTGTTCAAATTGTTTCCCACCCATTCTTTGGCAGGGTAGTATTGACAGCTGGGCCAGCACAATTTGGAATGGACCTATCCAAACACAACGTAGGGGTGTGTATAATGTGAAAATCTTAAGAACATATGATTTGCTCTTGAATTTTATTTATTTGTGCTTTTTCTCTGTTGCATTGGTCTTAATTTTCTAGTATTGCATTTATTTCAAAATACTCAGCTAGCTCTTAGATTTATAATAGGCATTTAAATACTTATAAACTAGGGTGACCAGATGAGGGGAAGAAAATATCGGGACACATGCGGGGGAGAGTGCTCGCTGGCAGAGCAAAAAACAAAAAAACACAGTGCTACTGGTGGATATTGGGACAAAATGCGTCCTGACACCGAAATATCGGGATGTCTGGTCACCCTATTAGAAACACACAATCTAAAATTCTTTCTTCTGACTCAGACACTCTAGAGTTCAGTCTTTCTCTCCTTTGGCACTAGTCATGATTCAGACTCCACACACAGGTGCTCCAGTTGTTTTCTGAATGCTATATGTGGAATATAACTCTTGCATCCTAGAGGGATGGGCCAATGTAAGGGAAGAGAGCTTGTCAAGCTGCTAGGATTCAGCATGGCTGCCGCTCATTTGTGAATTTACAACATTTTAAAAGTTTAATGAGGATTAGGCTCTCCTTAGGCCATCAGAAGTCCAGAGAAAGTTCCTTTCTAGATAAAGACAAAATGGGGAGAAATTACTTGTCCCCTTTGAAGTCAATGGCAAAACTCCCATTAACTTTAAGGGGGGGGGCAGGATTTCAGCCCACAGAGTATATACTCTAGATCTAAAACAAAGTTCTAAGGATATCTGTGCTCTCACAGGGTTTGTGGTGATATAATCTTAACCATAAATTATTCTGTATTTTGTTGACTGTACTTAAAGGCTATTATAAGATGTTAGTACAAACATAAAAGGTTACAGATGTTGGCCCATGTGAAAACCAAATCAGTCCAAAAATTGTTGATTAGACAACTTTTTTGAGCATCTGCCATAATAAAGACTCTAGGATAAAGGTCCTATAGTATGCTGGGAAACACCAGATGACTTTTTGGGATGACTGGAAAAATTATAAAAGGTAGGAAACATTTACAGGCTTTACTCCAGTATTTTAAATCATTACATCTCTCAAACAGACAAGAGGATTTGTTGCAACCAGTAAACCTTACAATGGATGCTCGGAGATCACTAATCCTGAAGCAGTGAAGGAGAAAATTGCTTTGATGCAGAGAGGCCAGTGCATGTTTGCTGAAAAGGCACGAAACATCCAAAAAGCTGGAGCAATAGGGGGCATTGTTATTGGTAAATAAAACTATCCTTATTGTTTTGTACAAATGTAACCTGTTTTTTCTCCCAAGATTATTTAGATTATATATAAGCATATTTTCAGGGCTGGCAGGCATCTGTGAGCAGTCGGTACAGAAATCCTCTTATTGGAACAAATGAGGTGTGTATACTTAATATCCCGCTTGCACACAAGAATGGAGCCAGACAGAAACCTACTAGTGGAGAAATTCAGTGAGGGGGTTTGTTCTGACAAATCGGAAGTTACAAATTAACTTTTGTTTGCAGCTGAATGTTGTGAAATGAAAGAGAATGGTTGTTCTATCGCAGGGGTGGGCAAACTTTTTGGCCTGAGGGCCGCATCAGGTTTTAGAAATTGTATGGAGGGCTGGTTGGGGGGCCGTAGCCCACCTCCTATCCACCCCTCGGACTCCTGGCCCATCCAAACCCCCCGTCCCCTGACCACCCCCAGAACCCCTGCGCCACCCCATCCAACCCTTCCTGTCCCCCACCCTCTGACCACCCCGACCCCTATCCACCCCCCCGAACTCGCGTGGCACTGCAGCTGTGCAGCACAGAGCACTGGGTCAGGCCAGGCTCTGCAGCTGCGTTGCCCCAGGAGCTCGCAGCCCTGCGGGGGAGGGGCCAGGGCTGAGCATCCCGAGCCAGGAGCTCAGGGGCTGGGCAGGAGGGTCCTGCAGGCCGTAGTTTGCCCACCTCTGTTCTATCATCTTCATTCCCTCGCCTATGCTTTCCCAGTTAAGTTAGTAGTTCTAGAGAAGAATGTACCATTTACATCCTTATTAAAAGTTGAGTAACTATTCTTTCAGTATTGAAAAAGAGAACTGCTTAGTAGCAATCCTGAAAAGATGTACATTGAGACCTTTTACATTCAGGAATGTATCTGCTCATGAAATAGCTTTTTCCTTCTAGGTCCAGCACTATTCTTGACTTTCCACAGCCAGGCAGGCATCCACCAGCCATTGAGCCTTTTGGGGCAAATTGAAAATACAAAATTAAAACTGCTGGAGATGCCAAAGAATATTCCCTCCCACCTGCAAATTCTCATCACCATCTTAGGCAAGCAAATAGAATTGAAATACATTCCACCTTTCAACTTAACTTGCTTCTGTCCCCACCAGGAAATAAGGTTAGAAAATTGTAAATCTGCGGAATTCTAATTAAACTGTAGCACATTCTCTGAAATTCCCACACCAGCTCTTCAAGCTACCTTTATCCAGTGAAATGGGAGAGCATCAATCTGAACTATATACAGAATGGAAAAGCTTACTCTGACTTTCTATTGGCTAGATGACAATGAGGGAAGCAGCAGCGACACTGCTCCTCTATTCCAAATGGCTGGTGATGGAAAGAATACAGATGATATCAAAATCCCCATGCTCTTCCTGTTCAACAAAGAAGGAAATATTATACTTGATGCAATCAGAGAATATGAGTCTGTAGAAGTGCTTCTCTCTGATAAAGCAAAAGACAGAGGTAAGGGCAAAGCCATGTGTGTCTTATTATTACTTATCTTTATCTGTTGGCATAACGTGAAATATAAAAACAAACAATGGTTCTTATTTTCTACCTGAAAAAATAAGTGAATTGGGATTGAGGTGAAAATTCCATCTGACCTCCATAATTCTAGTTTGTTGAATTAGTTTCATTCAAACTAACAATCTCTTAGAATTTCCCAATACATGTCCAACTTGAAACACTTTAAACAAAGTCCCAAATAGAAAAAGTGAACATTATAATTTTGGTGTAACAAATTTGACTAGTAGTGCTACAGCATGTGTTTTTTTTGTTTGTTTGTTTTTTTTAACCCTTAAACCCTTTTTTTCTTGGAAGAGATTTTCATATTCTGCTTTGATATCAAGGCAGGAATAGGCTGTGTGTGTTTCAGGATCCTGACTTGTAGATGCTTCTCAGTTCCAAGTGATTTTCTTCATAGAATCATAGAATACCAGGGTTGGAAGGGACCTCAGGAGGTCATTTAGTCCAACCCCCTGCTCAAAGCAGGACCAATCCCCAGACAGATTTTTATCCCAGATCCCCCTCAAGGATTGAACTCACAACCCTGGGTTTAGCAGGTCAATGATCAAACCACTGAGTTATCCCTCCCCCGCCTTCATATCTGTAAAGATAGACCTGAGTTTTCTCACTGCAAAGACCAGGCAAAAGTGGTTCTCATTGAGCATTTAATTTCAGAAAGGAAATCAACACAAAAAATGAGGGTCAGTTAAACAGAAATTAAAAGGTACAGCACCAAAAGTAAAATCCCTGCAAGCTGCATGGAAACTTTTTAAAGACACCATAATAAAGGCTCAACTTAAATGTATACCCCAAATTAAAAAACATAGTAAGAGAACCAAAAAAGAGCCACCATAGCTAAACAATGAAGAAGTAAAAGAAGAAGTGAGAGGCAAAAAGGCATCCTTTTAAAAAGTGGTAGTGAGGAAAATAAACACATTAGAGGTGGTTTTGGAACAAATTGATAAACTAAACAGTAATAAGTTACCAGGACCAGATGGTATTCACCCAAGAGTTCTGAAGGAACTCAAATGTGAAATGGCAGGACTACTAACTGTAGTCTGTAAATCAGCTTCTGTATTGAATGACTGGAGGATAGCTAATGTGACACCAATTTTTAAAAAGGGCTCCAGAGGTGACCTATTTAACATATTCATAAAGTGATCTGGAAAAAGGGGTAAACAGTGAGGTGTTTACCCCATTTGCAGATACAAAACTACTTAAGATAGTTAAGTCCCAGTCAGACTGCGAAGAGCTACAAAAGGATCTCTCAAAACTGGGTGACTGGGCAACAAAATGGCAGATGAAATTCAATGTTCATAAATGCAAAGTAATGCACATTGAAAGACATGATCCCATTATTTTATATGTATAGGTGGGATTTAAATTAGCTTTTACCACTCAAGAAAGAGATCTTGGATTCACTGTGGATAGTTCTCTGAAAACATCCACTCAATGTGCAGTGGCAATCAAAAAAGCAAACAGAATGTTGGGAACCATTAAGAAAGGGATAGATAAGACAGAAAACATATTGCCTCTATGTAAATCCATAGTACGCCCACATCTTAAATACTGTGTTCAGATATGGTCACCTCATCTCATAAAAGATGAATTGGAAAATGTTCAGAAAAGGGCAACAAAAATGATTAGGGGTATGGAACAACTTCCGTATGAGGAGAGAATAATAAGATGGACTTTTCAGCTGGGAAAAGAGACAACTAAGGGGGGGGAATATGATAGAGGTCTATAAAATCATGACTGGTGTGGAGAAAGTAAATAAGGAAGTGTTATTTACTCCTCTGAACACAAGAACTAGGGGTCACCAAATGAAATTAAAAGGCAGCAGGTTTAAAACAAAGTATTTTTTCACACAACGCACAGTCAACCCGTGGAACTCCTTGCCAGAGGATGTTGTGAAGGCCAAGGCTATAACAGGGTTCAAAAGAGAACTAGATAAGTTCATGGAGGATAGGTCCATCAATGGCTTTTAGTCAGAACGGTAGGGATGATGTCCCTAGCCTCTGTTTGCCGGAAACTGGGAATGGGCGACGGGATGGATCACTTGATGATTACCTGTTCTGTTCGTTCCCTCTGGGGCAGCTGGCATTGGCCACTGTCAGGAGACAGGATACTGGACTAGATGGACCTTTGGTGTGACCCAGTATGGCTGCTGTTATGAGATTAAAGTTGTCAGTACCAGTAATTTTACATGATATTAATTATCCTGCTTGTGTGGTTCTATCCATTCCATCAGTGTAGATAGTGGATATATTTTCAGTGAAAATGCACAGCTAGGAGATTATTTCTAGACTCTCTTTTAGCAAACTTCCCCCAGATAGAATTTAAATTCTGGTAATACTGCTTTTTCAAACAGGCTATTTGGGGAGCAGCATATGAAATTTAACTTCTCTAGTAAACTAACATTAGCACATTCATTTTCCCCCATTGTATTTCCAAAGCTGAAACCCAAGTTACAGCACTTCTGGATTCCTCACATGGAATCTTGATGTCCACCTATTTATACCAGCGGGTGAGCTGTTCAAAGTAGTTCTTTGCTATTAAATCCTTTCTGGGGCAACTGCAGTATAAACAAACCAATCCTTCGCTTCCACCAAACACAAGAGGATATTATGTGTTATGGATTTTTAATGCATATGTGCTTTTTCCCCTTCTTGTGCTACCATTGGAATTTCAGCAACAATATTTAAAGGTAAAATGATTCCAAACTACATTATTGATAGCAGTAAGTATCTTATATTAATAATCAAGTTATATACAGTTGGACTACCTAGAATTCTTGAAAACAGTTTCCTTTATTTAGCAGTATCAGTTTTCTTTAGTTTTGAACATTTACGTAATTGAACCAGAAGAACCTTCTAACATTAACATAATGGGGAGCCAAGGTACGGTGCAGTTTTATGTACTAGTATGTCTGAATTTAACTTTAAAAGAATAGATCATAGCTTTGCGAGTTTATCAAATGAAGACCTTGTGGCTGTACCCACTACCTTCCATGGATCTTTGGGCTGCACTAAACTCCAGTCTCATAATTCAAGAGCCATGGTGGGCTGGAGTGTACACTCATGATTAACAAGCGGACAGCAGTGACATAAGAGCATTGCTAGCTAAGCATGAAGAACCACTACAGATGCTAGTACCCTGAATTGACTAAACTTATGAGCAAATGATAAATTAACTTCATAATTAAAGAACAGTATTTGCAAAAGGCTTAATATACACCGCTCAAAAGGGACTAAGATTCTCCATACTAATAAAAATCTGAACCTTCATGAGTTCTGGAATAAGATCAAGGGAGACAATTGAAAATAAAATGTAAGTGTTCATTTTCCAGTGTATTTCAGTTGCCTTTTGAAAGTACTTACAAAATTCTTTTTTTTTTTTAAATAAAGATCTGGAAATGGAAAACATGGACCAGAAGTCATCTGAAAATGATTCACATAAGCAGAGACCAGAAGAGACTTCAGCATCTCAGGACCTCAGCTTGGCCAGTCAAGAGCCTGAGGGAGAAGAAAGTTCTGATGTTACTCACCTTGATTCATTATCTCCGGTTGATGCAGACAGTGATAGCATTTCCATTTCAAACCAGGAGTCCTGTATCACAGAAATCCATGAGGCTAATGTTCAAGAGACAGAAAGTACAGAATTAGATAACCAGCCTCAGGAACAATCTCAGACTGAGACAGATTCCAGCTCCAATGTTAATTGGGATAATAAAGTCCAGCCTATGGAATCCATATTAGCAGATTGGAATGAAGATATAGAAGCATTTGAAATGATGGAAAAGGATGAACTATGACTTCTAATAACTTATTTGTGGATAAACAAAATGGTGAATTTGTTGGGTAAAAGTAAGGCCCTAATATCTAAGAATTAGAAATTGTTCAGTATTGTGATGAGCAACCAGGTTTCGCCTGGATAATATAATAGAAACCCAGCACATGTTATAATTTATATAGTTTTAATTTTTCCTGTTTTGAAATGGGAATGTGCAATTGAACTGTTTGTATGGCTCTGTTGCATGGTGCTGTAATACAGGAGGTTTCATTCAGGGAATTAATCAGATTTCTGCATTCCAGGCATCCGGAGAGCAGATTGCCTTGGCCTCTGGAAAGGTAGAAGTTGAATGTAATGGGATTAATGCACCACTTGTTGGCTGGTTATGGCACTTGAAGGCAATAGTCAGAGGCTATTCTAGTTGAAGGTGCAGTTTCACTGATAAAGGCCTTTATGGAGAGAAATAGGTGAAATTGTGAGACATTTCCAGCTGTAATGTCTTTAAGACACAGCTAGAAACAGCTCAGTTTGTCCTGACATTTATATCCTAATAAGATATAGCAGTGTTGCTTATCACTCCTTCCATCTGTTGTTTTGAAGAATGACCAAGATGACTTGGATTTTTCCTCTTCTGCTCTTATTTCAACTAGAGAGGCTGTATAAACCAAAGGTAACATGCTCTACTAGGAAGCTCTTTTAGGAAAATTAAGAAAGCTTTGCTAATTAGAGGACTAGTACATAAAGGTTCACAGTGATTATGAAGATTGTTACTTGAATTAAGGTAAATTGGGCAAAACACAGTTTAATACAATTTTTCCTTTTTGGCCTTCCATGCTTAAAGTTATCAAGCTTAAAACTACCTTAAAACACACAACTTAGCATTATTATTGTTCTCTGAAAATAGATAATAGATGAGAATTTCAATGACGATTTCTGTTTTCTCTACAAGAAATATATCTGTCTACACTTGGGCAAGAAGGCTAGTATCAATAGTGAAGCACAACTGTTTACCTTTAGCTGTTGGGTCCATAATTCAAAATTTAGTGGTGTGAAGTCAAAGAATAATTGATACGATACTTCTGTTTTTTGTTGTTGTTTTTTAAATACAGGTAAGCATGGTTCCTAATTGATCATGTTTTCGGACGCATCCTCCAATTAAACCACAAATCTGATTAAGCAAACAAGAAGCAGTTAGCTTAACTGTGTCCAAATTAAAACTGCCAAAATTCTAGTTTAAGTTGATATATAGACACGGGTTTTAGTTAATTATGGCTCAATTCAGTATTTAATCTGTTTTTTCCTTTTCAGAGAGAGACTTAACACTGCCTATATCATGCACCAGACTAAAACTGAAAGTTTTTATATTTATATATAATCTTTATACAGGCAGACAGATGTATCCCTGTCTGAAGTGCACCTTTCATTTTACTGGTGAGATTAAAATGTGCCGAATATGCAAATGTCAATCAGTTCAGCCATACTGTATTGTACTTATGTATATTCATATATGGTTTCAAGTCCCAGACAAATGTTGTATACATGTAATCTGACAGTGACACTTGCTCTCAAGAGTATCAAAATGCACAAGTACCTTTGAGAGCATGTTAGTCAATCATAATACTATACAGAAATTGAATGACAATTTAACTGAATAGAGGTGTAGTTAACTTTGAGATAGTGAAGCAGTAGGGAACTAGTGAATAAGTGTCCTTTTAAAACTTAGTTTTAATTTCTTTGCACAAATAACTATGGAGGTTTGGGCTTAATATATTGGTACAGTGCTGAAGCTTAATACTTTGTCATTTTAGACTGAGGGATTGATTTTAAAGGATGGGATTATTCCTCAAAATCTTTGAAGTGTCCTTTGTAACTTGGGTGCCCAGCTCATGCAATTGAGGCATGCCTGGTATGGCCACAGAATCCATTGACTTCAGTGCGTGTTTTTCTGGGCAAAAAGTGATGTGGCTGCAAGTGGCCAATTGCACCATAGGGTGGTGTAGTTCAGAAATCCTAACTCTAAAAAGGAGTTAAATATTTCCAAACGTCAGAATGTAGTGCCACTAATAAAAGCTGCACAGGTTCTGTGTTTATATTCTTTAGTCGCTCCATTTAGGTATTTTTAAGGATTGTAGGTAAAGTGGTTCTCTGGTCATTACATTAGCAAAAGGTTTGTCAAATTAAATTTTAATGACAGCTCAAGTTTTCAGTTCCTTCCTGCAGAAAGTGATTTAGTTTTTAACTCTAAAATTTGTCTTTAGAAACATTATTAGAAGTTGATCCTCTAATTCTCCCTGTCACCACAAGGTAATCTTTTATGACTGACTAACCTTACATTAAGTGTAAACACCGGCACGACAGTTCTGACACAGGCACATTCCATCCTTTGAAGTGAGGGATTAAGAGAATCCCTTGCTATCATTTTTGAAGCATCTCGAGAGTGGTGGTCTACCTCAGATAAATGTTGTCCCCTTTTTTGAGATAATTTAACTTTACCTTTTTAAGTGACTATGACCGCCATAGATCCATGGTTTACAGAACTGAATCAGGTAAAGTTGACCTTTTGGGAAAGAAAAGGATAAATTAGGGGACAATTTTATTCAGGTTTTTTCACTGTGTCTTTCCTAATAAAGATGGAAATAGACTTTGGTTTTAACCTCTTCGTATCACTCTAAAAATACAATAAAATTTTCTGTAACATGTTAATGCCATTTTAAAAAGCAAAAGGAATATGTGATTGAACAGAAGATAATTTTGGAGAGGGGAGTAGGGTGTACTTTGCAAATTTTTAAAAACTTTCATTGTGCTTAGAATATTGCTCTTGCATCACTGTAAGTCAATATCATGTGTATGATTGTGCTATTTGGTTAACTAGAACACGTACATCTTATTCCCTCATGTAATTCAAAGAACCAATTTAATATCTCCTTTGATGTTAAAGGAATATTCTCTATTTACACTTACTGTTTCATAATGAAGTTTTAAAATAAGATGAGCATTGTTTCTCCTCCTCCTCCCACCGTGGTTTTAGCTGAAGGCTTATCTTTAGTCAGTGAAACAGTGTGTGTCGAGATTGTAGTAAATGTTAACAGGACACCTTATGCAAAGGCTTCAGTCAGAACATAGAAAAAACATTCTGTGAATGAAATATTGTATGTTCAGATTTTATAGGATTTTTTACCAGCCCGATTTACATCCGTATATTTTCTTATGATGTAACTTACGAAATATCTAACAGGTGCTGTAATACTACTGTTGGGTTTTACTGTCTGGTGATAAGTGTATACAATATTTCGAAGAGCAACTGTGTACTGTAAAAGTCTGGGCTAAAATGTATATAATCCTTGTATATAATTGTGTACTGGATTATAATTGCTGATTGTAAAGATTTAATAAAATATGTAAATATTCTGGTCAAACTACTTTGAGAATTGCCTGCATGATCCACATCTTCCCCTTCTGGAAAGCTTCATCCCCTACAGTATCAAAGGATATAGGAGGAGTCCTGGCCCATCACTCATTTCCTTCCGGCAGCCAAAGAATCTAATCACAACCTCCTCTAACTGTTTGTTTAGTACCATTGAGCTGTACATCTTCCAGTTTAAATAACTGCTTTAGTCTCAGTTGAGAGGGACTAACTCAGTACCAGTGTGGCTAATAAGGTAACATGTTGCACATGGTATCCTTCTATGGTGGACACACACATACGCAGCTTCACTTGTGCCAGGGAGATGCTCGGCAAAGAGCCTTGTGCTTTGTTCGCATGAGCAGGGACTCACCTCACCTCCCAAACTCAGGTCTCCTGCAAGGCTCTACAAAGGATAAATTGCTCAAATCAGGCTAGATCTGAGGCTATGTGGGTAATTAAAACATTGGAACAACATGTGGTGGGGTCTCCATTGCATGAAGACTTTCAATCAAGATTGGATGTCTTTCTGGAAAGTAAGCTTTAGGTCAACCACAGCCAATGGGCTTGATGTAGGAAATACAGGCCATAGACTTTTACCTAGTATTATACAGACAGTAAGATCAATGCTCATAATAGTCCATTCTGGCTGTTAACTGTGGTAATAGTCCCTGCACTTCTTTCTGAAGACTGAATCCTCAAGAGAGTAGGAACCTATTCTTCCTCCTCCCAGGATGCAGTGACCTCAGCTACTATCTCCCCTCTTAACTAGCCCTGAAAGATTTTGAAATCTGTAACCCGCCTATCTACAGCATTATGCTTGAAACTGACAGCTGTTGAGAGAAAACTCAGACTGTTTGATTGCATGGCTGCTGTGACTCCAATCCTTCATTGAAGGTACCTTATTGTAATTAAACTGGCCAAAGACTTGGATGCATGGGGTATTCCAAATCTACTATGACCCACAAGTCTACTCTTAGCAAGAATAGTTTCCAGGTAAAAAGGTTTATTCTTAAGCTATTAATGCATAGCATATTCCTAGCCTACTCGTTTTCAAAAGGTAGCATTCTACACTTGGACCTGAAATCCCTGCAGCTGTCTGAAGCCTTAACATGGCAGGTTTGTAAGTGCAAGAGTTACCAAGAAGCTGTAATGCTTCTCCTAGCTCAACTGGGGTTTGCGAAATGTTACAGGGGGAAAAATTCCCTAATGGCAGACAGAGCTGTCCCTAGGGATCCCGGGCAGCACGGGGCCTGGAGCCCCTGGACTTCCAAGAGCTAAGCAGATCAATCACACTGAGGAGATTTAAACTTCAAGACTCATTATAAGAAATGGAAAGGGGGGTGGATATTTTTTGCTGTTTTTAAAATTAAATAGGCAGCTAGTGTTGTTTTTTAAATTATTATGAACAAGTTTAAGCTTTGTTGTACTGTGCATTGTTTGCCTGGACTGCTCAAAACCTGAATGCTTATGTAGGAAGAACTCTGAGTTGGCTTCTTAAATACCTTCATGCTGTTTCACATCTGATACTCCTTGATGAAACATAGGAGCCTTGTCTTATAACAGACTTAGTCAAAGTGATTCAAGCTACAAAAGTGAGATCTTGGAAGAGTGTTGCCATTTTCATAATGTAATAAAAATACTGTAATGATAAATAATAATTAACAATAGTGTGTAATAAGCATGTCATTAAAAACAAATTTTATATTTCCAAGATCACTGCTTTTATAATTTACTCGGGTAAAGGAGACAATCCCTGGAAATACTCATTTTTAGGAGGGGGTTCGTGAGACTTGACATTTTAGTGAAAGGGGTTCACAGGTTATTAAAGTTTGGGAACCACTGATCTAGATAAACCCATGCTGCAAAATGGAAAATATTCTCTACTGGGGCAATCTGCAACCAGACTGAGCTTGGGTCTGCTGCTGTTCCATCTCCTACTACTGACAGAGTCCATCCTGCTGCAGATTCCCTTTCAAGACTCCACTCTGTTCGGTCATTTTTCAGTGAAGAGATTTCTATGACATGCCTGCCATCTGTTCATGAGATTTAAACTACCCCTCAACACATTTAAATTTAAATAAAATGAATGGAGATATCCTATCTCCTAGAACTGGAAGGGACCTTGAAAGGTCATCAAGTCCAGCCCCCTGCCTTCACTAGCAGGACCAAGTACTGTTTTTGCCCCAGATCCCTAAGTGGCCCCCTCAAGGATTGAACTCACAACCCTGGGTTTAGCAAGCCAATGCGCGCGCACACACACTTTTTCAGATAGCTCTCCATCCTCCTTGTTTTATTGACATCAGAGAGGAGGGTTATTAAATTGGTGGGTGTTCTCATATACAATTTTCCCTGAGGATAGGGTGACCTTCCAGCCGCACCTGAAGTTTTAATCTAACAGCCTCAACCTCCCAACCAAACCAGAAGAATTACCAACAAAGACTAAGGCCAGGTCTACACTACTGACTTACATAGGTATAACTATATCCACTATATATAGATATATATGAATGAAAAATCCACAGCCCTGAGCGACATAGTCACACCAAGCTAACACACAGTGCTGTCAGTGCGAGGGCATCTCCTGTCAACATAGTTACTGCCTCTCGTGCAAGTGGAGTAACTATGCCGATGGGAGAAGCTCTCCCATCAGCTTTGGAGCATCTTCACTTAAGTGCTACAGCTGCACCAATGCAGCATTTTAAGAGTAGACCTGCCCTAAACCACATAGCTTGTATGTCAAGAGTGCACTGAGCTATTCTCTTAGTAGATTTTATTCAGTTGAAATGTCCCCTCATTTATTTGTAGCTTATGGGCATAAACCCACAGCTATGTAACAAATTGTAACATGTCTTGATGCAAAGTAAGGGGCTGGTTAAGCGTCACAGTTCTCAAGCCACTGAGCCAAAGCAACCACCACTAGAACTGGGCAAATAATTAATTTTTCGGTTTAGGGGACCAACCAAAAGATCCCTTCCAAA